AATATCGATGCTACTGGGATGAAACATATATTATTTGTAACCAAGAACAAGATCTTTCTTTCTATCTTAGAAACACCTTAGTAGAAAATCGCTCTACACAATTTAATAAATATTATTATTGAAATAATATTTTTTTGTAAGTTTACATGAGGAGTTGTAAATTTATATTAAAGCTCACGAGCTCATATCAAGGCTTGCGAGCCCATATCAAGGCTTGCGAGCCCATATCAAGGCTTGCGAGCCCATATCAAGGCTCGCGAGCCCATACAGGCTCGAGAGCCAAGCCAAGCTCAAATTATATGGGCTCAGCTTGGCCTGAGCCCAACTTTTAAATTTAGGCTCGAGCTAAGCCCAAGTTTTTTGGGCTCGGCCTATGGGGAGCTTTACGCAGTATTATAATTCACCTGCAGAAAAATTAGAAAATAATAGAAATAATAACATTTAGTCAAATTTAATTATAGGAAAATTATAACAATTAATAATATTTTAATAGTAAATATTTAAAGAATAGTATTTTAATCAGTCACGCGATCGGTAACACAAATCACGTGTTCACGTGGCATATAGTTACACAAAAATAATTATCAATATATACTGTTAATTATTATCACCTATTAACAAATAGCATTAATTATTAACACTTATTATCAATTAGTATTAGATATATTGAGTAAGTAATATGGTAAAATAGTAACCAATGAAATCAGTACACAGTAAGGCACAGTAGTGGCACAGTAATTAGAAAAGATATAAAAAGGCAAGGGAGCAACCTTGATTCCCTTAAGTTTTACAATCTGTAATTTTAAATTTTGATAATTTGTAACTTATTTGAAATTGATAAATTTAATTTTATAATTGTAACTTCCAAGATAATACTTGTAAAAATTACCCTAAATTGAATTAATAAAATAAATATTGGAATTATAAATAAAACCCTGAAAATATTATTAAAATAAAAATATAATAATTAATACAGGAATATTGAATATTATGAAATTAAATACTTGATTGTATAATTGTATAATATTATTATTCTTGAGTTAATGAAATTAATTATAGACTATAACCCTGGAACCGTAATAACACTTGATGAAGGTATATTTAATTAGTAATTAATGACAATGAAATGTAATAATATTTAATGATAATAAATTGGAACCCCCTGAAGGATAACAACTTGGAATAATATTTGACAATAACGAATAGAAATAATACTCAACTAATATGAACTGGAATATAACCCTGAATGAATAGTAATATTAAAAATAATGATGAACTTGGAATGATACTGGAATAAACTGGACGAAAGGTCTGATTCCCTTTCTAAAATAATTGAATCAGTGGTGTCTTCTAAAACAACCGTACAACAGTCTTACCTTTGGAAAAGGACTATAAACTTCTAAAAGAACCGTCATCACTCACAACAAAGGTAGTTTCAAAGGAAAACAGGAACCACCGGTGACACCGGTACCTGAGCTTGTGCTCATAATAAATTTCAAAAAATAAAAAACAAATAAAATAAAACTTTTTTATTATTTTTATTACGTATTTTTATAAAATAAATGATAACAGGAAAAAGTTTTTTTTTTTAGTAAGACTGATTGATATAACTTTTCTCCTTGTTCTGGACAGACCATTACAATATGTATTATTTTTGTTTGAAAGAATGTTTTTTGTGTAATGTGTTTATTAATTATAGAATCACAGTAACATTTTGACAATTAACAATGGTTTAAGAATTCTTGCAGAAGTGACTTTAAACAAAGATATATTATTCAAGTTTTGTCTTATAATAATTTTTTATCTAACACATTTTACTTACTTTCCATTTTTTGTTTTGTAGTACAATCTTCATAAATAATACTATTATCCAAAAGATGAATTGTTTCCTAGAATCTTTCTATTTCTGTTTCAGATGCTGTGGTAAATATTTCAAATGATTCATTTTTAAGTGATTGATGATTGAACACATCACTAATTAAGTTGATTGAAGCTTGAAGACTTGCAATGAGATTTTCAGAATTTTCTTTAGCAATTTTACAAATTTCATTCATTGTTCCTACTTGGCATTTTTTATGAGCAATACACTTCCAGTTTATGATGTTATAATAAATTGTGGATGTTGAAAATATTTTTTCTCTGCTTTATTTCACTTGTATTCCTTATACCAATGTCCCACAAATGTTTTATAGTTTCAGCATGCATGTTTTTACTTTTAGGTGGCATTTTGGTGAGTGATTGTTCGAAAGGATGATGATAATTTGGCGATTTTCAAAGACAAAAAGATTATCAAAATCATCATTTATTACCATCAGCCCAATTTAAACACAAATTGCACGTGGCACTAATTTAATTCCGGAACCAAAAATCTACATAATTTTTAACATAACAATGAATTTATACTCACAATTAAAATAGAATCAACCTTAAGTTTATTACTTTCATCATAAAATACAGGTTTACACATATCAAAAGTAGTAAAGTCATTAATGGTACAACTATTACTAGAAGAATGAAGTTCCTGCTCATTGTGAATATGTAAATTATCCATATTATTATCCATAGTACCTTGATAAAGAGATAATTTAGTACCATTAAGATTATGTGTCATCATTGTTTTTATTGTTTGTGGTGATATATTTATAGTTTGACTATTATAAGAATTTTGAGTATTTGATGGAGGTTGAGGTGCTAATTCAAGTAAACTACTTGGATTTGCTTCTAAGTTCACATTAGATGAAATACTCATGATAACGGAAACATGGACCCGAGAATATTGAAGTTGGAAATTTCGTTAACATTTGAAATGCAAGTACTACCAATTTTAATTCTAGTAAAATATGCTACTATATATAATTGATTCCACGTTTCTTTTTGAGATAAATTTGAACCAATCCACCACCAAAATACATTCTAACATTATATAAATCATATTGACCAATTCTTTGTTTTAAGCTAATCATATCAGATACATCATTTCTGATATCATAAGCTGGACATTTTAAATTTACAGGATTAGCTATGGAAAATCTCGAATCATCTGATTTTACAAAAGGTAACGATTGATGACAAAATGAAAATTGATGAACACTTTCTAATAATAAATTTATAAGTTTTTGTAATTTTTGTTCATCTCCTAGAATAATATGATTCTAAAGTGATTTATGAACTAATTCTAATGGGTAATATCCAATCATGCTTAAACATTCATCTGAAACTCTAGCACATTTCATTCCTTTAATAGTTAAAAACATTATAATGGTTTGTTGAATTAATAATCTTGGCGATGACGGTGATGAATTAATAATTGTTGATTGTCGATGACCAGATGATTGTTTTAAAAGATTGGTATTTTTATGTTCAAGCAAGGATAGTAAACAAATACATATCTACAGCCATTATTCCCGGTAGATACTCTCTTATTTTTATTGGCAACCAAGCAACCAAAGTAGCTTGGATTTGGGCCTTGGAAAATAAGCCAGTTAATTGTTCAAGCATATTCACGTATTCGGTCATATTTTTGAAAGAATAGTTATTTTAATTGTGCATCGGCTTAACTTCACGTCTATTTATGCTGTTGCTCCTACAATTGTTGACTTTTTTGAAACAATAATTTATTAAAAAATAGGATACACTTTTAATATTAAATATCTTGTTGAATAAAACATTTTGTATATTCTATAATATTTTATGTTGTGTTTCATTTTAATACAGAAGAATAAAAATACCAAATTATTGCCTTAAAAATTAATAATTGTTATAAATTATTTTTCATTTTTAAGTGGATAAAATCATTTGATTGTAGCATACAAACAATTAAATTCACGATCAAATGACAAATTCATTCATTCTTGACTTGAAAAAAAGAAGAGTTCTAGATAAAAATCATAGTCTTACAGTTCAGGTAGCATCTATTAAAATTTAATAAATTACATTTATGGTTTCAACTTTTAAAAAAGTCGAGCAAGCATCACAAATATGTGTGACACAATACGCATTTAAGTTGACGGCCAAATTAAAAAAAAATACACTAATCGATGAAGGATTTTTTTTGAGCCCAAAAGGGAAAATAAAGTATTCGCGGTAAACATACTTTACGATTATTATTCAAATATTGTATTAGAGCGTTTTCGTTGATTGTATTAATATAAGTAATTATATTTAGGTTTACTGAATTGGAAAACAATCCGACATTAACTTGGCAATTCGGCTGTTGTTATTTGTAAAGCTGTTTCGTACAGAATACTGTTATATTTTTATTAATAAAATAATTATCATTGTTATCTAATTTGCGAAAATTGATATCAAATATCAATATCATTGTTATCTAATTTACGAAAATCGATATCAAATATAATTAATCTGCCGAGTTTTTTATTGTAAGAGCACTAAAAAGGAAGGTGCACACAATCAACTTAGTGTTCGCCTTAGCTGGCTAAATCGAATAATATCTGAAAATTTCCCAATATTGGGAATGTCTAAAGCGGAGGTAAATCATGTAGATAAAATGAAAATTTTATATGCATATTACGGAAGGATATGGATTCAGTGAAACACAACCAGGATATAGATGTACCTCCAGAAGTAAATATAGTGATATAGAATCAACACCAAGCGTCGGAATTACAAGTTTATATCAGAGACTTTTTTCAAATACAAAAACTAGATTTTCTGGTTCCCTTAATATTAGGATGGGATAATGAGAAATTATTAAAACATCACTAAAAGATGTGCATTTTGTTTTAAAGTTGATAAATACAGTATCTAATTTATGTAACAAATATTGGTACTGGAAATAATAAAATTTTAATGGAAGAAAAGAGCTTTGTATTTACAACAAATCGAAAAAAATGGCAGTCGTATAAGTTTATAAATGATAAAGGAATTCGACTTTGTTTATACTCCGATATAATTTATTAAACTTAAATTCAGAATGAAAGATTTATTTCTATAAATTTATAAATTATAAATTTCCTTTTGAACATTCTATTGAAAAATTAGACAATGTAGCACTATGTATTAAAATTTATTAAAATTTATTAATATATATATATATTTTTAAAAATAATTATGAAATTTATACATTTCAAATCTGCAAAATAAATGATTACATATTTAAACATTCAAGTGAATATACTGTATGATATCTGCTCTGCCAATTATCATCTTAAAGTGATTTATTGTATTATTTAATGTAATTGATAAACTCTATGATAACACTTAAAAACTACAGTTTCAATTCTATATAAATATTAAAAACAGCAAAAGCCGTCGTTGGGGTCGCCATTTCGGAATTGGCAACACTTTGCACCATCAACTGTACCGCAGCACGCACTCGTAAAATTGCTGAGGCTACATGGAGAATTTAGAGTTCCACATGTGATAGTGATAATGGAAGTGGAGAAGGCGGTGAAGGCGGAGGTGGAGGTGGAGGTGGAGATGGAGGTGGAGATGAAGGTGGAAATGGAGGTGGAGAAGGTGGTAGAAATGGAAGTGGAGGTAGAGGTGGAGGTCTCAATTTTTAATAATGTTGATGGTTTACCTTTAGGACATTTCAAGAAAACGGTTGGAGTACAATAGATGGTCACTATGCATTTTCCGTTTTTATGCCGGATTTTACGTTCACCAGGAATGCAGATAACTTTTTCATTCCTCTTTTGGACAGCCACGAAAATGCTAGTAGATGTGGTGAAAGTGGTAGTGATAGATGTAGTGGTAGAGGTAGTGGTAGAGGTAGTGTCAGTGGTAGTGGTAGTAGAGGTAGTAGTCGTGGTTTCAATAGTAGTCGTGGTAGCAGTAGTAGTCGTGGTGCCGGTAGTAGACGTGGTGGTGGTAGTAGTACGACATGGGCAATTTGAAGGATAAATGGTTTCAGTATGGCGGCGTGAAATGGTAACAGTAAGGCATTTTTTAGCTGCTACTGTTGATGAGAAAAAAAGCATAAAAATGACTAAACCAGTTGTAATGAAGAGAAAGTTTCTATTAAACTGCATCTTGGAGGGAATAAAAATGTCAAATTAATTAAATTAATTGAAAAAGTTCATTCAATATTTTGGGATACTTATACCCATTTCGCTCGTAGGTATTTCACCATTAATGAACGTAATTTACCCTCAATAAACGTACATGCAGGTATTTTACCCTCGATGAACCAATGACATATTAAATAAACTTTATTTAAATTATTATTTTTTGCTATAAATGGTTCGATCAATTCATCACGGTCGAAAATCCCTTTCATATGAATTAGAATATTCTATTTGCTGATTTCTAAATTGTTTCACCAAAATTCATAGGTATAACTTGTATTACCAATCCGCATTTGTTTTATTAGTCGTAAATGTAATTCATGTCGATTATTATTTGCTAATTTGTTCGTCTAAAATTAAAATTTACCCTCAATGAATCATTTCGCTTGTAGGTATTTCACCATCAATGAACGTAATTTACCCTCAATGAATATATATGCAGGTAAAACAATGACATAAAATAAATTATGAAATAAACTTTATTTTAATTAAATTATTATTTTTTGCTATAAATGGTTCGATCACCATAAAATTCAGAGGTATTATTTAATCTATTTTGTATAACCAATCCACTGAGTGACAGTTTTGTTATTAATTTGTTAATAAACTTATTGCACCAATTAGGCAATTTTTCTCTGCTTCTTAAAGAAGATACACCATTGATATCGCAACTAAATTCTCATTGGTGGCTTTGGCTTTGTTTTAGAATTTATTTAATTTATTTGACTTACTTTATCAGGCAATAATGTTGTGTTGCTTTTTAATAGTACTTTCGGAATTACAAAATTTCCATACAGAAAATCTGTCAATGAAGCCCTGAAGCCTCCTCAAATATAAAAAGACGTTCAAAGTTCAAAGTTTAAAATTCAAATAAAAATGGTTGCTATTAATCCAACAAAATTAATTATCCTCTTAATCACTATTGCGTTTTTAGCCGGTTTTGTGCCATCTGTCAATGCTCAAAAATGTCCTGATAGTCTACCTTCTTGCAGCGGTAATTATTATTTAACACAAGTATTTTCATTTTTAACAAGGTTTATAAATTATAATTTGCTGAATTTGTTGAAAATATTTATTACAGGGACCGTTATGTGCACCTTCAATCAGAATACCCAAAAATGTATATGTTCTTGCTGTGATGATAAAGGACTGAACTGCAAACAAGTTCCTTAAAAAATCTCAAGAAATATTTAACACTATCGGGTTGGGGGGTTAACGTTATTTCATTATCCTTTAATCTCATCATATTAATTACATCTTAATATCTATATATAGATTATTTAGATTTATAATCCCATTTTACATGTGTCCGCGCTGTCTGTAGTCTTAATTAGCTTATATGTATATATATATATACTGTATATATATTGAGATATTATAAATATGTGCAGAAATTAATTCTGAACAACTTTAATTAATAACCCAAAGTAAATTTTTATAATAAAATTTTGTTATATAAAATTATTTTTAATTGATATACATATAATTAAATCTCAAAAAAAATTTTTGAGCCGAGAACCCTTTGTGCATAATTCATAAATGGTACTTATTATATATATATAGGTTTGTAAATCATTGTTATTTACTAGGTCGCCTCGATTATTATTTATTAATGATCAAAAAAAATGCAATTTTTGATTACGCAATGCATTTCACGTTATTCTAAGTTTTTTTTACATTAATGGAATCAAGCTGTACACGAACAACAACAAAGAACTAGACATGTATGCCATGATCGTGACATATGTTTCTTTAGTTATAAGTTTTAATCTGAATTTTTCGTTTCAATGTAGTAACACATCTCGTATATAAAATTTAATAACTCAATAATGATGTAAAAAATTGATTGCTACTTGGGAATTATTTGGTATCTACATTATTTGAATTTTTTAATTATTTGTTCGCGTATTGCTATATATTAAGAATTTGATAATAAATTGTTCTAGTTTTATTAATTTTTCCAAAAAAATTTTTAATTAACTTGAAATAAAAACAAATTAAATTAAGATCTTTACAATTAAAAAATTTACCTTGCACATTGTATGCTGGCGCGCTATCAGTAACAATTGTTAAATTCAATTCTCCAATATTTTTAATCAATTTTGTGACATTCTCACATCCATTGCTTTCCTGACTATCTGAAAACAATAATTGTTTCCATTAATTCTTGGCTATTTACTTTCAAAGGATAATGTAATATCTGATTCTAATTTCTCATTTAAGATCTACTTCATGTGATTCACAGGAAATAGTAACACGTAAATATTAATAAATTGAATTTTTTTCTATCACTGATAGAATGAAGTTATCCAAGGCCTATTATTGAAGATAATGAATATAATAAAAAATGAAGTATTTCGTTATATCTTTGTTGGTTGACTATTAATACTTGATAAGTTATTTGCTAGTAAAAACCTTGTTAATATAAAAGAAAAAATTGACAAAATTGTATTACGTTTGTGACACATCGTGACTTTCCAAAAATGAACAAAACATTAGATCCAAATGGCAGTGAAGTCACAAGTTACTAATAAATGTGAATTTGTCCGTAATTCATATGATTTACTGTTTAAGGGATTGTAAATCTTTCAATAAATGTCATTATGATTTAATTTAAATAAATGCATATACTTTTTGTATTGATCAATATGTAATACGTATTAGTATTGTCACGGTCTGTGCAGAACAAGACAAAAGTTACGCCAATCAGTCTCACTAAACTCAGTTTAATCACATGATGACTCAATATTTTACTAACACACTTTTTATTGTACGCGATATCTCGAAACACAGTAAGTTCAGGCTATCAGTCGATCAAACCCTGCTTACTAACAATCACAAATAATACAACTATGTGTAATATCTGAAGGTACAATGAGCAAGTGGAGTAAAAGTATCTTTACTGACTACTACGTACAACAACAAAACTGAGACAGACTTTTTATTGCAACTTTGTCAAGAAATATAGAAATAGTTTATTAAATTTATTAAAGTTTCGTGTAGGAAAGTAGCAATAGCAATATATTACTGCTTTGGTGTATCTTATCACTTTTGCTATTCTGCTACACTTATTATTGAAATTATTACAAAAATACGAAAGAAATAAAAGAGAATAACAATAGTGATATATTACTGCTTTGGCGTATCTTATCACTTTTGCTAAAATTAAAAGTTATTATGAAAATTATTTATTATTATTAAGATTATTTTGAAACTATTTGTATTTTTATTATTGCTAAAACTTATTAAGATTATTTATTTAAAAGAAATTATGAATTATTACAAAATTATTTGTTATTATTAAAGTTATTAAGAAATTCGTTAAGATAAAATTATTATATGAATTAAAAGTTTTTGCCAGAGGAGGAATCTCTTGTTTCTTTTCTCATTACGCAGTTATTTTATATTTTTCCCTTTTGTTTACCTTTTTCATCATTATTCATAAACACGAGGATAATTATTTGTCATTTTGGATGAAAGAAGATATGTTAAATACAAAGATAATTCATCCAAATAGTGACACGGTCATCTTGGACGAAGGATGATATGCGAAGTACAAAAATAATTCATCCAAATAGTGACACTGTCATCTTGGATGAAGGATGATATGCGAAATACAAAGATAATTCATCCAAATAGTAACACTGTGTCTAGGACATTTTTGTGTCACCTCAGTATTTATTATTTACAATTTAAACATAAAATAATTATCGATTAATAAATAATAAATACAGTTTAAATGTGCAAAATCACTAAACGGAAAGTGAATTTTTTGTGAAATTACGTTAATGAATTGAGAAAAGTGATTTTTTATTTTCTGCACCCGTTGTTACCTTTAGTTTTTTTCCATTAATTATTTTATTATTTTATTATTTATTAGTTATTATATTTTTGTATATGTATTATTTATTTAGTTATATTATTATATATTATTTAGCATATTATTTAGTTATATTTTATATATTATTATTTGTATTAGAGGTGTTACGCTAAGTAGATCAATTGATGTAGCGATCTGTTACACTATTAAAGATATTGTCAAAATCAATGTCAAGATCAGTGTCAAAGTTACTATCAGGAACACTGGCAGAAGTACTGTCAAGAACACTGGCAGGAACACTGACGAAACTATTAATTATATATAGGGTGAGTTTTCTTCTCACCCCAAGTAAGATTTTAGAGTAGGATTTTGAGTACTAATAGTGAAATTAAAGCTCCCCATAGGCCGAGCCCGGTCGAGCCCTATAGGGCTCGAGCCCGGTCAAGCCCTATAGGGCTCGAGCCCGGTCAAGCCCTATAGGGCTCGAGCCCGGTCAAGCCCAAAAAACTTGGGTTTGGCT